AATTGATATTAGCGAATTATTACCCCTCTCTGTCGCGCGGGCGCGCTCGTTCCTGCTTGAGCCCAACGCAATTACGGCCGCGTGTCGGGTATCAAAAGTAATTGCTGCCAAACTTAACGAAATTTAACCAATTTTCGTTTTCGGCTGCCTGACCTTCCACGACGACGGATTACCGGCTCGGGTTTCGCTTTACATATGCACGCCAACTCCTTTACAGGGGAGATTGCAAATGCAATTTTCGGGGATGATTCCCGATCCTGCCTCTTGGAACTACCGTTTTCAACATCTTCCAAGGAATGTGCACGTGACGAGTTTGAGATTCGCGCCATCGCTTATTACTTATCTCTTCCAATTTTGCATTACAAATTTTTTTTCGTAATCGTTCCTCCATCCTGTTTCCAAAAACAGAGAAAGAAAAAAGAAAGAGAGAAACCAACGCGCTCTCCTCACTCTCCTCATTCTTCTCAATTAACCCCTTAAAACCGGGAATCAAGCGAGACAAATCCCCTTTTCCCCGAATCCCAACATCAAACATCAGTGAAACCGGTGACACTATTAAACGGATCAGCCGATTTAGTCGCAGGTAGGAAAGAATCGAGTCGAACCCCACTCGAATAAACGCGCCCTTCGAGCAAACCAAGAACGTTCGTTCCAAGTGTACGTTAGAAGCGTAATGACGGAACATACGCGCCGACAGAAGGGGCGAAATGTAGCGAGGCTAATCCTCGATGCAGGGTGGCCCCAGGGTGTCGTCTCTCCGGGTGGCGCGCCCGAGTCTCTCTCCTCGGATGCACGCCAGACCGGGCACCCTTCGAGAAATAAAGTCTGCATGCGGTCCAGGGGTGTATTTGCGGTGTTCAACCAGCGGGGCGAAACATTATGCCAGTGTTTTATCGTGCAATCATCCGACTGCACCCCTTATGTGTAAGGGCATAAGGGATTGCGGGTTCGAGTGGAGTGTGTTTACACGTTGGCACACGCCGCGGATTTGTTACACGCTCGTTACACAACACGAGTTCTCCTTTCTAATACGTGGACGGGAATTCGATTCGAATCGAAGGTGAAGTTTCTTACGTTAAATTTGCTTATGATTTCATCGAAAATCTCGATTTAATTTCAATTTATTTATAATCTTATATTTTCTGTAAGAAATAAGAATAAGAAATATTTCTGTTTCTTTGTGAATTTTAGGATTAGGTTAGGTTAGATTGAGTTAGGTTAGGTTAGGTTCTCGTTTCTAATACGTGGATGGGAATTCGATTCGAATCGAAGGTGAAGTTTCTTATGTTAAGTTTGCTTGTGATTTTATCCAAAATCTCGATTTAATCACAATTTTTTTATAATTTTATATTTTCTGTAACAAGAAATATTTTCCTTTCTGCGAATTTTAGTTAGATTAGATTAGATTAGGTTAGGTTAGATTATATTAGGTTAGGTTAGATTCTCGTTTCTAATACGTGGGTGGAAATTCGATTTAAATCGAAAACAAAGTTTCTTACGTTAAGTTTATTTGTACTTTTATTGAAAATCTCATTTTAATCATAATTTTTTTATAATCTTATATTTTCTTAAATAAGAAATATTTCCGTTTCTGCGAATTTTAGGATTAGGTTAGGTTAGATTGAGTTAGGTTAGATTGAGTTAAGTTAGGTTAGATTCTCGTTTCTAATACGTGGATGGGAATTCGATTCGAATCGAAGGTAAAGTTTCTTACGTTAAGTTTACTTCTGATTTCATCGAAAATCTGGATCCAATCACAATTTTTTTATAATCTTTTATTTTCTTAAATAAAAAATATTTCCGTTTCTGAGAATTTTAGAGTTACGTTAGGTTAGGTTGAGTTAGGTTGGGTTGGGTTAGGTTAGGTTAGGTTACTATTGTTGGCTTATTGTCGTATTTTTCCACATATGCGTATGGCACGGTAAGTATGCAAATTGGTTCATCAGTGGCTGACTACCGATACCGATACCGATGTCGACGCACCAGAGAGTGCCGACTAGTCCATTACGAAGTTTACGAAAATTACAGTGATGTTAGTCCCGTTGATATCGGTGTGCGAGTAATGCACACATCCAATGGTTCGGTAACCCGGATTATGGACATCCAGTAATACTGATATTCAATTATTTGGGTACACGTAGGAATATCTTGTTACCTGGCAGTTCTAATTGCGCGGGGCCAGTGTTATCGAGTTATCCCAGTTTAACATCCTTGCAAGTATAAAGCATCGTTTATGCAAAATTGAAATGCATCGATGATGATTCGATCTCGAATTACCGCGAAAAATCAACGAGATCCGATTATTCAATTACTCCTTTTTTTATTCTTCCTTCCTTTTCAGATATTGATTCCTTAAAAATTCGATTTTTAACATTTTCATTCCTTCCACTCGTGAACAAAAGTGTCTATTCTTCGTTGCTTGCGCTACTCATCTTGTCCCAAACAACGGCTACAACGTTGTCGAATCTTTTCTTTCTTTTCTGATCGGAGGATGAGGATCTCAAGATCCTCGAGAATTTCTCTCATTGATGAGATGAACTCGTTCGCGGATGTATCAAGAAGAGTTCGAAAACTCGCGCGAAAGCACGTGTTGTACTATGCGAGTGAATAAGCCGGGTGTTTAGATTCCGCGTGTGTAACACTGCGCTCATTAGAGAGCGGCGCTAATTGCATAATTGGTGGCGGCAATTACGAGCAAAGCGGTGCCGCGTCGGGTGACGTCAACATCCAATAATTCGGCACGCGACGACAATCGCGCGATCCGCCGCCACGCCATCGCGCAAATAGCACGAGTATCGCAATTAAAAGCGATAATACTGAAATTGGCTGGCTACCTACCCTTCGCCTCACCCCCTTTTTGGATAAGCTTTGGCCTTACCGACTTACCGAGACTTAACCGTTTCGTTTCGAGAGAGGCAATGGGATTGAAGCGTTCTTTTGTTCATAGATTTCGAATGTTAAAGGTTTATATTGGATTCGAAGTTTCCGAAATTATAAATTATATATTTCAACGATTTCATGTGAATGTTAAGCACAGGAAACCATAAATTAATATCTTGATGATCGAGGGGACTAAAATTATCAATTACGTTTTAACAGAATTGGCATTAGTGTCAATGTTGATGTTAACAGTAATTAATATTAATTGAAATCCGAATTGATTATTGATACCGCTATTAGCTGCCGGAATTCAACTATTCC